ACAGAGAACGAGTCATGTGGAGGACGTTCTGCAACCATAATTTGGAGGCGACGAAGCGAGTAGTGACTGACGGAAGTGGAGAGGCGACGAAATAATTGTGCCAAGACAGATGCTCCTGTATGGTCATCGCTGAAGATCGAGAGGTTCGTAAGCTTGTTCCGCATTCTGCTCACGAGGTCAACAGCAGATGGGATATCCTGTGCATGCACGTCAAGCACTTGAAGTTGCTCAAATGAAAGCTCGTTCTGGAATTCGGCATTTGGTTGGAGAGCAAGTTTAAGCTCTAGTAAAGATGGCAGACGTGATAAATGGTTCAGAACCTCGGCATCGATGATTCCACAGTGAATTGTAGTGAGATGATGCAGATGGCAAAGAGTTTGAGAAACGGAGTTGCGAAGATGACTTGATAGGGCCACTGAATGCACGGTCAATTTTCGCAAAGAGGGACACGTAGGAGCAATCGAGGAGATGAACTGTAGCAGGTCAGGAACTGGTGAGATGGCCCAGACCTCAAGGAATAAGGACGTGAGAGACTTGGTCATGATTCGACGGATCAGCCTCAAGTCTCTCTCGTCATAGATAATCCACTCGAGGGATGTGAGATTTGGCAGGAGCGGCTGGGTGGCATCCATGGAGGCGAGACAAGCGAGTAATTCATCGTCAATGTCAACCATCAATTTTTTTCCGCGGCGGACGTCCTGGGTGGCAAGACTGAGGTGACGGATGCGTAAAGCATACCTGCGGAATATATTCCAGTCATCTTTGGTCAAGTGCCTATGAAGTTTCTGACAAATTTCACGAGCAAACGATGTTAGCAATTGAAACAAAACAGTCAGAAGACCCTCTTACTAAACAAATACAGCCTGACTCAGACTTGATCGCGTCTCCGCCCCATAAGTCATGAGGCATGCACTGGATCGCTCTTGCGATAGTGCCAAATTGTTGCCAGAGGATATCTAAAGCTATATGATGAAAGGCCCTACAAGTCCTTGCGAGAGCAGCAAGAGTAGCTTGAGCGGCGTGTCTTTCATGGCTCGCGTCAAGTACAAAAATCCACTGAAAAACGGATAACTGTATCTCCGGAATGAAGAGACATCGAGGCATATAAGCTGAGATTCAGAGAACCAAGCTGTACGCATCCACTTGATTCGTTGCTTTTAGTACATTCCGTATATGGTAACTATCCGAAAGGTGGTCCGTGCACAAAGTGTCAAAGGTATATAAGGCTGGTGCTGAGATCGTAACAACTCATACTTACCTTGATGGCACAGGCTCCTTCATGTACCCGGGTTTGTGGGCCGTGGGGACCCTTCATAGCACGGCGACCTTGTCCATACAGAGGGTAATCACGATTTGTATGAGCTCCGGCTCATGCACCGTCTCAATATTTTCCAGTCCTGCCACGGCCACTCTGGCTGGGCAGGCCATCTTTTTTTTCGATTTTTATAGGTCCTAACCCTAACCCTACTACATTATATATAGTAATCAATGAAATATACTTTGTTTCTTAACCGCATGCACGCCAGATGACCTCATACAATCCCGAGTCCCAGACACTAAGCTCACATGCGCCAGATTCACCGCGCTCTTCTCAGTCACCCCCGCCTTCTGGTGTCCAAGGTGATTTGGAATTAGAACTTCTTGGGCTCGCCAATGCTTTATACAACCTTGGAACCACTGTCATCAACGACTCCACTAAAGATCGTGATAGGCCAGGTGGCGCAAAGCTGGTAGGCCTTGGGGCGTGCGTTCTTTTTACTGCTTCAGTTGTCTATGATCCTAAAAATCCCAACGGTCAGAAACGAGGTCGTCAATCACCTTATGTCCATTGATAACAAAGCACAGGATATTCGGACCATGATACCTTTTCAAGTTTTGTCTGATATCGACAACGCACGCAACCCCATGCAGTTGACCAAAGAACGGCTAGAAAGAGCAGCTACTGAGAATCAATTCATGAACGGAAAGATAGCAGCTATTGACGTAAGTACCTCCCTGTTTTGCTCTACCCTTGTTAATACACTTCTCTTGTAGTCCTACCGCAAGCTTCTGAATGAGGCATTAACATTGAACTTTCCAGAGACAGCCGAATATCTCCATCCTAGTCAAGATGGTATCAAGATGGAATTATAGGTCGAGCCCTGTCGCCTACATTGTCGCACAGCTACATCTCGTCGAAGGCTCAATGTCACTTACGTAAATGGGCGCGCGCACTCGGATGAATCCTCTCGTAGAAAGATGAAATTGGTTGAAGACGGGCAACGTTCCGTTCCCTCTCATTACCACTTGTCAATATGGGGATAATTCGCAATAATCGGCCTGATTAAAATAAAAGAGCTAAATTTCTCATTAAGGATGGCCCGATGGTATTTTTTGACCATGCCAAGATGATACAGGCGCATTCGGGTCACTCGCAAGACAACGCCGCGCAGAGCACGTCCAGGCGGATCGGCGGCTCTGGTCATCTTTGTGCCAGCGAGATGCGTTATCTATTATGTCCCCTCAAAAGGACAAGTGGGTAGCTTCCTCGGATTTATTTGGTACCGCCGTTGCTTCTCAGCTCCAGCCCTTCTTGGATCATTGAGGCTTTGTGGCGTACCAATATACTCAGCGATGGTCCCTCACCGCCACAATCCATACATCATCGGATTGTCGCGAAGCGGCCACCTGTTAATAGTATTCAGATCTGATGAGAGACATATGGATTGGTGCCAATGCTTAATGGTAGTGTGGCATTGCCATTAGTGTGAGTCTTGAGAGCAGGAGATGTTCATTCCGCTCTAACGGCCCTCATGTTTCAGGGATCATCTCTTATCTCACGTCCACATTCGTATCCCGCAGTCGGTCGGAGGTGCATTTTCACGATGGGCCCAGAATGCGAGATCCTCCTTTATCGTCGCAATGGTTGTCTCCGAATGTTACCATCGCACTTGTTTCAAGAGCAGTCCTGACCTGGATAGAACATTGACGTTGTTAGTCATGAGAATCTTGGTGCGGCTGATGAGGGCTGATAGTATACTGGTTGATGCGGCGGCAACGACTACAAGCACCGGGAAATCAACGAGTTTAGAGCCGTATCTTCTCCTACCTTCTCCGACGAGTCTTCTCACTGTCTATTTTAACGGCGGGCAAAAGCATCCCTGCTAGAGTGTCACATACAAAAGCGGTTGAAATCTTGGCTTTGTGGAGAAACGTTTCGGAGACAATGAGTTGTTGGCAATGTCGGCGTTCCGCACTTCCATCCGCTCAAGCGTCTGTAAAGTGAAAATTGGTTGTATTGGTCCTCGTGACCGGTCCTCGGACCTCCTTATTCTCGCTAGGGCGCGTGAATTCAACTTCCATTAGTTGGGATTTGCACGCAACCATATTGGAACTAGTTCGCAGGAGTGCCTGTGCTACATTGCTAGGTAGGTTCAACCATATCTGAAGCGGTAAGAGGACATCGGGTTGTGATATGCAAACAGACCGAAGGGACCCCGAAAACCTGTATGTTTAGATGTGAACTGGTTCGATTTTTAAGGAGGCGCCCATTTTGATCTCGAACAAGGCGCATCGCCACTAGCACGCCTATCGCTCAGATCCTCCGTGGTTCGATCTTGGCCATGTATCGCCGCACGATAGGAAGCATGGGAGTGTAGACCAGCCTATCCTGGGGCCCGGAGGTCACTCGTCTAGCAGACATGTAGTCGGCAAGTTGGCGTTTTACAAATGCGGATTAACGTCTTGTTGAAGAGGTAGGCGCGCAAATATTAATATTTACCAAGAAATGATATTCAGAGAATGTCCACACCCACCCATAGCGACAATGAGCTATGTCATGATATGAGCCGGGATCAGATTGATACATTTACATTCCCACTCGATCAGGGATGTGAGAACGAGTACTCGAAAATATCGATTTGAAAGAGACTCAGTCGAGGCAGGTGGCTGCGTCTCGAGAGGACCGTCGACGTAAGACGGTCCGCCGGGAGAGATCTATGATATAGGGGATGATGATGGTCTACAATGAGGTACTAACTGAATACGACCGAAGTTAAATGAACCACTAGAACGGATAACTTTCGGAGCGCTTGTGTCTATTGGAGAAATATGACCTTCTAGAACCTACCCCACCGAGAGTTCATCACTGGTCACCGATACACGGTCAGAAACAGGGTTCCTCTCACGCATATACGTACTTGAGTCACATCAATAGAAGCATCCTCGACCGAAACAACGCACAGGTAGCCGCATCCCTGTGCGAGAAACGTCTCGCGGCCCATCGTCATTTGATTCCGCGGTATCTGCTGTACCTGACTCCAGCTCAAGTCAAACACGAGGCGATGGCAAATGCGATCTCCGGTCCCGCTCGTTTGTAGTACCAAGGTAGGAAGCGTACGGCCTCGCAACGTGCCCCATGATGATCCTATCAAAAGGCGTGTCTATGACGGTCCGTTCCTCGCATACAGCTCATAAAACACGCTGGTATACCCCGAACTGCTCCGTCCCTTGTGAGATAAGATATGGGCGGGAACAGCCGGCATCCCTCAAGGTTTGTTGGCCATCGATCTCAAGATTGAATGTTACTTTTTCAACGACCTTCAGATTTGGACTAGTCCAAGGAACATCCCGTTTGTAGTCCATTTCCACCAATCCCAGGGCGCTTCAGTCGTCAACGTAAAATTCATCTTGACCAGATCGCATCATCGTCGAAAGCCCCCGAAGAACGACCTTCAAGTAAGAGAGCAATCATGACGAACTTATATGCATCAAGCCACCGATGATAATCCTGAGCTTCTTTCTCAGCATCAGAATTTTTCCAATAGATACATCTGATCCAGAGTGAGCACATAAGGCAGAGAATTAGAGCCTCAGGGTCTAATGCGAAGTTGCAAACACGATTGCGTAGTTGTGTAGTAATTATACAATTTCGTGACATAGTATCGTGCTTTTAGTGAAAGTGATTACGGGTATCGTTGAATGCGCGAGAATGAAGCTCTAGGAGGTCACGGCAGTCCATCTCACGAAGCTCGCACGGCGATGGCAGTACATGTGCAGAATAGCGAATCCTACAAACCATGTGTTAGCGGATCAAAGGTTCAGTACGTATATCAAAAATATGCCCACATTGAAAAAGAGTTCGTTCAAGCAGACATCCCCATCTTCCCAGTGAGACACCAAATGGGACCTACAAGCAGTGATCAATGATGATCAATGATCAATTTACAGATCGCAATGATTCCTACCGGCCACCTTGCCCCAGATTCTCCGTGATCTGAACCAAGACCATATACTTACTGTGTCGAGTATATAACACAGGGTCACGAGATGAGTTCAATGTAAGCGGTCAGTCATCACACGTACAATCCATGTGGCTGAATCTCCACCATCCGCTCCTTGACGCGTTCTCCTATCTCCTTCATCCAAGCTTTTACTTGGTCACGCTCAATATGTGGCCACACAGCATGCGAAAGCGTTGCTGGCAATAGTTTTTTCACGTATGCTCGCAGTACCTCCGTATCGAATGCGGGTCTAGGTGCTTGAGGCGATACCGCACCAGATCGCGAAATAGGAGAACGGAGTCCCAGGTTTGTTGTCATCCTTCCTCCAACAAGAGGAAAATGAGAGACAATTTTGAACGCAGTAAAGCTGAAGTCAGACTCCAATCGTCGAAGCCGCAAGGCTCGAGTGAAGGCGTTTACATTTGTTTGGTCTTATGGATATGTCGATTGCCCGGCCCGCTTCCGTGAGAATACGAGACTCACAGTTACTTACAAGTTTCCTGTGCGCTGTCCAGTATCCTCACCTTTGTCTTAGCCACCCGTAGTCTCATCCCGTTGATCGAATTTGAGCTTTCCGAAACACAAAATGTCTTCGATATCGTTCCCGCACTCAGGCGACGAAATGGGCTCATCTTCTAGCTCACTGCACGACTCGATGCAGGCGCCGTTCTACACCCCCACTCCGTTCGATATGTCATCTTCCTTTCAAATGAATCCTCTTTCTGCGCACCCGCCTCGTACGCCGCGCCCCAGTACTACGCAGTCGCACTTTAGGAATATGAGCATGAGTATTAGCGTGTACGACGAAAAGGCGGAGGAAGAACAGGACAGAGAGACGGTTAAAGCAGACAAGGCGGAGGTAGATGAAGACGAGATCGTGGAGCTAGACGAGGAAGATGTACATGTCAAAGAGGCTGAAAAGTTAGTTGGGGCTCACGAGGTGTGGCGAGATATGTTTGTTACAAGTAACGGACGAGACAAAGCATTTGTGAGTGACCATGACACACCTACTGAACAAGTGACAGAAGTCATCTTTGGGGTAGAAATTAATGCAATACTCGATACGTGTGTATCTGCTCTTCCACAGCAAGATTTTATTTCGTAACAGGAAGTCCGCTTGGCAGCGGGAAATTGCACGAAGGCTTGGGGATGCAAAATGGGGGCTTTCTTTCACGAGGTCGGTAACCGTTTGACATTGACATCGTCATTGACAACTGACGGCACACAGAAAAATGCTTATCATGTTCAACTGGTTAGCCCCCCTGAGTCAAATATTAGCGCAACAATCCGTACCCTTCTCGTCTTCCGGATCTTCCCTTGTGCCTCACAGCTTCACAGCTACCTCTGCGCCATCCTCCAAATCTTTGCAATCATCGGGGGGTCCCTTCCTTTCGCACCCGGTCCTCCGAGCTTTGCTGTCGGCTCCGCCCCCTGTTCTCCTAGAGCTTGTAAATGGTTTGTCGGATGATATACACTCACTTTCCCGGCTTGGCATAATAGGATCCAAGCTGGGAGAGCGTGCGGCCCGGTTTGCTGACTGGTGTTGGCTCTTTTCCACACTGGTCGGTCTGGTAGAGAATGGGGTCGAATTGGGGGTCATTGAGGGCCTTCGACGAGAAGGTGAAACGATTGATTTGTTTACCGCTTCAAATCCGGTCGCTCATTTGTTCCAGTTCAATCAAGGGCATACAAAGAGTCGCTCTCAGGAGCTACCTCTAAGTCACAACCAAAAACATCAAAAATCGACGAACGTGAGCTAACGCGCTTAGAAAAGCAGAACTACTGGCTCCAGATCTCAAGGGCAAAGCTTGCCATGGATCTCATTTTCGTCTGTGAGTAATTTGATTGCACAGGTATTTCCCCTCTGACATCCCTGTGTTGCAGCGTGGGATATCTGTAGGATCAAAGGGTGGAAAGACACTGTCCAGTCCTTCACTGGCCTTGCAGCCGCGGTCCTGAGGTAATATATTCTATTATCATTTGCCGTTTATACTCCTAATTGGTATTTGGTAGCTGTGCAAAGTTGCACGACAAGTATAGAACTGCGCTTGTCAACAAGGCCCTGACTAGTTGAACATCATGGCCCTAGCTATTCATGATCTGAATGAAGAAGAGGTGATTGAAGCATGTTAATTTTCGCTTCTTTCCGTACGCAAACGCAAGCGTTGACATGCTTCCAGCGTTCGACAGTTCCTCGTGTGCTTCATCTATGTTATCATGCATCTTTTTGTTACCACCCATCACCTCGCATCGCATACATTTTTTGATTGTTTTATAATACCCTTTACTGATATTATAATGCTTGATTCCGCCTTGGTCGTGAATTTATTTATTGTAGATAAACTATGGTTTGGGGCTGGCGAATTTCATTATGAATCCTAGATGATGACTTCAACCGACGATTACACGTATTCCTATATAGAAATCACCACGGCCACCACTTAGAGGCAGGGTTGGGTGATGATGAGACTACTGATGGTTGCAGGGCTCGTTCCTCCTGTAACCTATCCACCTCTGCTTCGAGTTGACGTACTTGGTCTCGTGCCTCATCTAGAAATTTCTCGTGATCCAGCTGGCTCTGTAATAGCTGCAACCCCTGATCAAATCAAAGCACACAATCAGCAAAGATGACAACACGTTGATTTCAGATCATGACGCGAGGGAAAGCAACGAAAAACGCCAGTGAGCCACGATGCGAAGACGATACCACTTACCAAGTACACAGCGGAACCCAAAAGAGCCACCGGAACCATACCCGGAATCATGGATGCATACCATTGAGAATGTGCGGACCGGGGTCCCGTGGTTGATGATGAGTATCCACGGGTCCGCCGCTGAGGAACGCGCAGAGATCGCGTTCGAACGAGGCGCATTAAGGGCGCCATATGTTCCTAGAAACCGGGAAGGCTTTCCGACAAACTGACTCGAATGGACGTGAAATAGCCCCAAAAATTATGCGTGAAGGTTTACTTGCCCGCGGTGTTTGGGTGCTATGCTTGTGTGTGGAGCAGTCTTTCACTATCCTGGCGAACGGCGTTTTCAAATGAACAAAGTTCGATATTCAAACGGACGTGGGACTGCCAGTGACTGTGTGATATGATGCAGAATGACTCAGAGAACATGGAATTTGAAGGAATAAAATGTGCGCACGAGATGGGATTTGCTTGGACTTTGTCAGTGCCAAGAAGGAACGGTGATTCTGTATAGGAAAGCCTTCAAATTTGCAATCTCAGCTGCTGCGTACCGGTTGCTAGTAAATTTGTCGACGTGTGAGATGGACAAAGTCTTGATGAGTCCGATTGCATAAGCAACACGGTCAAGATGTGGCGTTTGCCTCGTGCCCATCATTAATACGCGTCACAGATACAAGGTTAATGGTGCTCTTGTAATACAGGCATGCCTACTTCTCCTACTCCCTAGCTGACTTCAACCTATCATTCCCTAGCTCCCTCTCAAAATAAACTTACGGCAGCTGCTGCATGTCCCACGCTGTAGAGCTTTCCGTGGCCCTCAGACACCTGTGGGGTGATATATATTTGAATATCTTTGCACAACTCGCGAGCGCACTTGAAGCTCCAGGTCCAGCCCCCACATTATGTACAAAGAAGACTGGGCCATCCTTCTATTTGGTTCAGACCTTGCCTCGGGAAGGTTAGGCTTAGCGCTGCTCAGGACCCGACATAATACTACGCTCTCGACTCGACTCGGCATTCCATGGTGCACCGAGACGAAGAAAAAATAATTAATCTGCAATCTCCGCTACATCCCAGCTGGTAGAACATCTGGAAGTAAGGTTTCTCTCTCGCCTCCACCAGTTTACACCATCAACATTCGCGACTAGAAACTTATGTGCGCATGCCGAAAATCTTGCGTCGCAGAGAACTCACATCATACCGGGACTTCCTTGTCAGAGGAATGAAGAGAGTGTCTCAGATCCCGGCCCCGCTTAGGCCGCTTCGAATTCTTTTACTTGAAAATTGCCTTGGGCGTTAATGGTGAAACTGCAATCTCCGCTATATCCAAGCTAATACAACATCTTGAAGTAAGGTTACTCTTTCGCCTCCACCAGTTTACACCATTGACATTTGCATCTAGAAATTTCTGCGCGCATCTAGAATTTCTGCGCACATGCCGACAATGTCGTGTCGTGGAGAAGTCACAGCATAATGTGGCGAGGAATGCGGAGTGCGTCAATCCGACCCCACTGCTTCGAATTCTCTTACTTAAAAATTATACTTGGCTATAGTGGCAAAACGTTAATATGTTAGTTCGCCATGCGCACCCCAAGTCCAACAGGCCCAGGGGGGATGTCATTTATCTTGGCAGGCGTTCTGGATATCACCCTCCCCGAACCAGCTCAGCATAATTTTCTGAGTTTTGCTCGTCATATCGTTTGTCTGTCTGGCTGACTCGACACATCGTTTTTGACGGCATACGAGCTCATGCTACTTGTAATGTGATTCCTGCTTCTTACTTTCAGTGACATTGCTGTTCGCATTCCATTCACTGGCGCCTGTTACTTGTAACGTCCTCTTCTTTCAACGACACTGACATTCACATTGGGTGATATGTATTAACACATACAGGGGCGAAGCCTTCCATCATATGTTCTGCCCCTCCGTATCTCCGCCCGACTCATCAGGGTACTTCTCTGACACCGACCAGGCTGGCCGACTCGTCTGAGAAGATTGCAAATAAATGGATTGCCAATTACATAGTGTAGAACAGTCAGTTGACTCGGAGCATATTTGCATGTGTCACGGTATGCAACGTGGCAAGGCGCTCAAAAAGCTTCGTGTGCTACTCCCGCATTAATCCGTATGGGCCGTTAGATCTGTTCAGCATTATAACTATGAATGAATGGATGTCGACCTATCTCATTTCCTCGACGACGATCCGCAGCACCATGTAGCATGTGCTACAGACTCGCTGAGCCAGTCGTAACGATCCTATATAATAGTGGCGTGAGACTCTACTGAGATAAGGTCTGCAATACCGTGAAAACCATATTGGCATGCTCTTGCTGGAGACTTAAAAATATTGCATCGCCTTGCAACCCGTCGTTCCTTCTCTCCGCTCTCGTTTTATCAAGCCATCCTGACTACTGTTCACTGTGTGCGCTGAGCAGCGCGATTGCCGCTCGGGCGTCTTGCAACTAGAAACCATAAGTGCCAAGCTGGTGATCTAAACCTGTTCAATTCTGCCAAGCTACCATGGCCGTACAGCTAAACGTTGATCCACCGGTACTCAGCGAGAAATTATGCCCAGGTCCACTTTCAACCGAAATACCTCTCAACTGTCGTTCTTCCCCGCATCGAAGCTCGCGTCCATCCCACCATCTCATTCCAATGCATACTTCTTTGTCTGTTTCCTCTTCATCGGTTTCCTCATCACAAACTCTCCCACAATCGCAGCGATATGTTCGTCCGCGCGGGCTGCGGATATGGAATCTTTTCAAACAATGGCTGCCTATCTTTGCGTACGGTGTAACCAGCCTTGGATTTATCTTAGCTATCGCATTTTGGAAGACTGAGGTTTTCGATGGTAAGTCTTCGGTTCCTATTGGTCTGCTTTCGTGACCCTGCGCCCTAGTGGGCCGATGCTACAGACTGGCGCAATTATCTCTATTCCTCGCTTGCACGATTATGACAACGCCATAACTCGCTTGTAATTTTGCTCACAATATCTATTTCCAACAGGTCTTGAGCACCTGTCACGCTGGTTGCGAAACGATGAGCACTTCGGCTATGCAGTGTTATTCTGTCTCATCTTTATCACTACATTTCGTACGTTTTATTCTTGATTTATCATTGGTCAAAAACTCACATGTGCGTCGATGTTTCTCACGTTTTAATAGCCCCTCTCCCACTGTATTCCACGCTGATCACATTATCGGGATATACATTTGGGCCGTGGACTGGTGCTGTTATCTCGTATTGTGCTGCCCTTTCTGGTGCTGTCGTCGTGTTCTGGTTATCACGAACGTTCTTGCGCGAGCCAATTGGTCGTTGGCTTTCCTCGACCCGCACTCTATCCCGCGCAGTCCGAGCTGTCGAACGCAAACCCCAGCTATTATTCCTTGTCAGACTTGCACCATACCCATATAATGTGCTCAACGCACTTCTTGCGGCCACGCCGACCCTCACCATGCGGACCTATGTGATTTGCACGGCTTTGTCCCTTTTCAAAGTCATCATTCACACTAGCATCGGTGCAGGAATTCGCTCGTTCAGTGCCAAGAAAGAATCCGATGTTCAGGAGGAAGAGGATGATATCTGGAGCAAAGTCTGGACTATTGGCGGAATCTCTTTGTGCGTTGCACTTTTCATCTACATCAGTGTGGTAGCGCGCCGAGCGGTGGACGATGAGCTTGACGATGAGATTCCTGGAAGTGTATCTGAAGAAAGAGTGGCATTCTTAGATGCAGAGGATGACGATGTCGGATCTCGAGCAATACGGTTACCCCTGACTTTGCAGCCGCAGAGCAACATGAGCGAGGCACAACTCGTTTCGCCACATCGCGTCGTGTCCGGTCTTCCTGCAGCCTAGTCGCTGCGTTTTCTTCTTAAAAGGACTCTCTCGAGCCTAGACTTGTATATTATTACTCAAGGATATCATATCAGGCTGATTAAACCCAAACTTGTATGTTGTGTATGTATTTCTTTTTGGAACTGATGTACTTTTTACTACTATCTTTCATAAACTACACATGTCGATTTCGCATCTTTCCAAGTCACGCGTGGCAGCTGTAAAGCACCAATGAAATCCGCGTGCGGTATCTGGACTGACACCGCCAATGGGCGAGACTGAAGGCCTAATGTCGATCTACACAGGTCTCATAGCCATCATACAGGTGATAAACGTGTATAGCATTGCCCCTGACCTGATGCCTGCCCTGCAGCAAACGCCACTTGATCCTTGCCACAGCTGTGCCAATTCCAGCCCTTGTACACAGGGTCGCCCCTCTTTCCTGTTGGTACGATCGTATATGAATGACTCCACCACCACAATCACGGAAAATCTGGAACGAACAGAAAGGCAATGTCAATGAGACCGCAGCAAGTACTGCGGGCAGTGGTCTATCGCCCCCACTTGTTCCGTCTTTGGGCAAAAACTCGAGTCACCTGTTTCGCAAACATCCGAAAAGGCAGATGAAAGCTGACGGGTTACGTTAGCATTGCCGATCAGAATTCTGTGCATTCGCTCTGATCAGATCACGCCTGTATATTTGACGAGATCAACAAGTCGTTTCCCGATTTGGTACGTACATATGCGGTCGCCGTTTTGTTTACTTGTTATCGTGAAATATTTCGTGGAAAATTGCAGGTGGGAATTGCAATTTTGGGGTTTTGATAGCGGGGAGAGGGAGTTTTGCGTTTGCAATTAGGTTAAGGCCGCCATCAGGAATATATCTCATGTTGCGTTTTGGACAAGCAAAATGTATTGCAGATACTATCGAAAAAAATCGCAGCCGGGATATCAATGAACGAGGGTAACAGTATACGGGGTAACCGTATGCACACGAGAGCCAAAGACTAGAGAGAGAGGTATCAAAGTGGGAGTGATGATGGGGTGTGGTACTACAAATGAGGAGCAAAGTATACACGCTGGAACTAGATGAGAGAGCACATGCAAACGCAGCCAATCGTTTTGTAACGTTCATGAAAAAGATCTTCCAATTTCGTATAGCTTCGTAGAAGAAGAAGCGGGTAAAGTGAGGCGAACAAAGGAAAGTGGGATCGTGAGGTCAAACGCAAACACAAAACAGCCAGAGCAGTCCAAAAGTCAAAGATGAAAAACACCAACAAGTTGAATTAAAAGGCGATCCGAGCAACAAGTCTATCTTCTCCACGGGAACGTTGCGTCTAAAGCTCGCTCACGATTTTGGTATATTGCGGAGGAAGGTGCTCGTTCATAGCGACAAACCCAAAGTCAGGCGAGACTGCACCCATTCAAGAGACTGACAGTCAGTAAGCCAGCCCGTGAGACATCGGAGGGCGCAAGGGGTAGTCGCGCGACTCACAGCGGTTAATGTCGGCTTCCCCTGCGCCGTATCCGTCCCCGAGTGGTGGCGTGTTCGCCTGAGACGACGAAGTGTGGGAAGCAGCACTGATCGATGATGCGCTGGTAGAGGGGCGTGGTCCAACCTGATGGTGACCCCAACCACTCCGGCCATCCATCGAATCGATGGATGCACCGCCAACAGCAGAGTATGCGAACTCAGTTTGCCCGGAAGGGAAACCATACGAGTCCACAGATGGCAACTGGATCATGCTGCGCACTCGTGGCATGTTTCCATCGTCAGGATGAGGCGATGTCGAGGGTCTCTCGTTGGAAGGATGCTCTCCATACGGAGACGGGTATGGACTCATAGCCTGACTGTGGCGACGGGGACGACGGATGCTCAAGGACGACGGTCCATATTGCTTCGAGGACGATGGTGGGCGTGACAATGATGGCGAAATGGGGCGGTGATGGCTCGACCCGGGACGCGAGTAATCAGCCTGATGGTAAGTATGGTGTGATGGTGATTCCTCATATGGCAAAGATGACACTGATGAAATGGAGTATCCCGTAGTTGGGCGGCTATCCGGAGATAGTGAGGGCGGACTATTGTCACTCTGCATCGAAACACCCGAGTAGGTGGATGAGTAAGATGTGTTGATGGTCGGCGTTGGGCGAGGACCATAACCATTGTTGCTCGGTGGGTTCAACAAGGAAGACAAACTGCCCGAATGATTGGAAGTCGTGCTGTTAGGTGAATACTGCCAGTTCTGGTCAGGGTAGGAGTACTGCGAGGGAGGGACAAGCATGTCCCTGTTGCTAGTATGCTGAGGGTGATGATATCCACTTCCTGGACCCATTGCGCTGAACTGAGCAGTGGGAGATTCCTCCGCAGGAGAGATGGGTTGCAAGTGAGACTGATTATACAAGTTATGATGAGTGGGTTCCGAAGGGACAGTGAGGGGAGGCAGGTTACGAGTGTGAGGATAAGTCGCACTCCAACCTGGACTGTTCTGATTCAAAGGAGTGAAGGAACCTGGTGCAGAAAAGCCACGAGCACGACCACTAGCATTAGGCAATGTGCCTTTTGGACCCACAGATGAAGGGACGGTGAGAGGGACTGGACCCATACCGATAGCGGAACGGGGAGGAGGTATTGATGGGGGCTCCTGAGTATCGCGCTTCCTTGGCTTTGGAAGACGCGGGGGGACGCGGCGTTTGAAATTGGCCACGACCTCAGGGGGGGAGTGGCGGTTGAGGGTGGGGTGGGCTGCGGAACCGTATGGTCAGTAAAGGAGAAGGGGGCACTGGCGCGGACTTACACCATGTGCTTGCGTCTGGATCATCAATAGCGGGGTCGACGTTACGGAGGTTTACTTTGCGCATGAAGCCATAGATCTAATGGACGAAGTGAGGTCAGTGAAAGATTCATTTTAGTGAAGGATTAAGTGGGTTTTGGCGTCGACAGAGAAGGATGGAAGCACATCAGACATACATTTAGTTGCCGGGAGAAGCTTGCAAATCTCGATTGACGGTAAATGCTTGGGAGGACATGGAGAGCCAACTGCTCTGGTCTCTCTACGATGATATGTTCTCCTGCAGGATCCCAACGGATCATGTGATGATTTTCTGGACGTTCAAGAAGACTATATAACGCGTTAATGAATAGAACTGATGATGTTAAACGCGAACTTACGCGTAAAGTTTTGTTAAGAAAGTGGCCTGAGGCTTTGCCTCTGACTTTGGAGGAGGTGGTTGCTGCTGCTCATGAACTTTGAGAGAAGCAGGAGGACTGTCCTCTGTCGGAGAGCCATTGCTTGAACTAGAATGAGAAGCTGATGGCTGCTGTGGGTAAGTAGGACCCGTAGTATTAATCTGATGATAGTCAGTTGGACGAGACCATTGTTGAGCTCGTTGATGGGTTGGGTATTGAGAAGTGTACAGGTCCTGCATTGTCGTTGTTCGTAAAGTGAAAGGAAAGGAGGAATTGAAAGAAGTGCGAACTATGTAGCTGTTGTCTAAAAAGAACCAAAAATGAAAAGTAGTAAGTAGTCTCGTCGTCGATCGAGACCTTTTTGATATTTTATAAAGGTAGCTAAGTATAAAACTAGATGAACGGTGGAGAATAAATCATCAACCGAAATCGTCAACACCGAAATTAGGTTACGAATAAATTTACGTCAACATTCCATATCCATTTTTTGTATCCGCTTTTTCCTTTTTAAATAAAACGTAATCAAGGGTGCCGCGGCCGGGTTCGGAAATCACCTTCGGTAAATACATTATAAACAAAACAAAACAACTATAACAACTAAATTTGGTTGTCATTCCACTACCTCGGCGCCGAGGCTACCCTCGTAAGGAAGTATTTGTACCAAATTTCCATGTGACAATTTCGAGTTGCCGCGAGATCTGAATCTACTCTCTTTTTCCAAAGTTTTTGCTTTTCAGCGGCACCTCAGGCCTCAAGTACTCCATCCTGTAAAAACTCATAGCTACACGTGTAATGAATCTATGAATTACATTTACATTTTTTTATTAAATGATCCCCTTCACGGCCGCCATACAACCTTGTTCGCTTGCCCCGCACCCTTGTAATTTATCATTGGTTCACTTTAGCGCTAGCTGGGGTCCTAATCAATTACTCAATTTGGTAAGCCGTGGTTCAACTTATCCAAATCTGGACTTACCGCAACCAAACCTCCAATCTTCTCAATTTGCTTCTCCTCCTCAGCGATCCGCCCGACTTTGAAAGAACCACTCCCCGCGCCCTCTATCGCCTGTCCCTGCTTACATACCCCATGCTCACTATCACTGTCTACCTATTTGGTTTCTCGTCACTAGCGCTCTTTCACCCGCATTTGACTAGACAAAATCCTATACTAATTTATAGTCCGGAGGTACTGATCTCATCATATCATAGCCTGGGTCTACACAATTTCAAACAGCGGTCTCAATCGGATCATCGACAAACGCACATGTGTACCAACGTCCATGAGATCGGCTGATCCCCGAGTCCTTTTTTTTTCACATACTCCTCCAGCACTTATCTCATGTACATTTGCAAAATCACCAATCACAGCGGCTCTACTGCGTCATGATCAAACTGATTAGAAAAGATCGTAAAGTGTCGGACATAGTAACAATAAAAGCGAGTGATAGATGGTTGAATTGTGCAGGTCATAAGAAGCAACGATGGTGTGCAGTGAAATAATACATGTGAACCTATTTTTCCCTAGAAACAAAAAATCCAAGAACTATGCAAGCAAAGCATCAATGAAATGAAGCACTGGATGGTATCATACGATGAAAAAATGAAGTATCACACCAAATCCCATCTTCGACCGGCGATCGCATCCGATGTTTCGTAGCCACCGCGATATAGGGGTATAGACGGGAATATGGCGGAATCAGCTTTCCCCATCATAGTGTAGCGTGACGCTGTTGAACGCGCCGAACAGATCTCCATCTGCTGGAGCATCCATACCGTCATCGTATCCGGGTGTCCCAGGGCCCGCCGGTACGCTTGTTCCTGCTACGCCCCG